TGAGGATAGTAGCGGCAGGATCACAAGGGGTACTAAGAGGGGCCCTGGCGGATTCGGCTTCGGGAGCTCTGGAAGGCGTTAAGGCGACGGTGTGTGTAGTATCTCATAATACTGCAACACGTCACGTCTTCATAACCATGGCCCACACTCCCCAAGACCGTCTGGCATGGGAAAGCAATTTCTTCAATGCCGGTGATACCCGCGGATGGTTGCAGGGCTTCACGCAGGATGCAGCCTTGGGTCATGTCTAGCTACATTCGAGACTCCGACAAAGGAGACTTGATGAGAGGGCCAGGAGCACCAGCAACCCCTCCATAGTTCTATATAGGGATCGGAGCAACGATCACTCCTCAAGTGCAAGCATCAAGCACATGATGAAAAACAAGAACACCACAAACACCCATCTTGAAAATCTGAACATGATGGATTATGACTATATGCCGTGCATGCCTCACTCCATGCCTCATTGCCCATCCAAAGCCTCCTCACCAATCTATAAAATGATAACAAGAACCATCCATTATCCCAACAAAACAAGAAAAGCCCAGCAGAAATTCTGGGGTATCTCGCGAAATGCCCGTCAAACGCCTGCCCTGTATAGAAAGAAGCAGAAACGCCATGCAGTGCAGGAGAGAGGCAAAAGGCCAAAGCCAACAACAAGCACCATCCTTAAAGATGGGCATCCCACTACCGCTGTCCTGATCGTTCCCATCGTCGTGTCCTTCGTAATCATGCCCTCCGTGGTGGTGTGAGAAACACATCGGGAAACATAACAATAACCGCTGCTTCGACGCCCTCGTCGATCATCCATTGTATTTCCGCCTCGGCCTCAGCCTGCGCATCCATTTCCATCTCCATCTGCATCCGTGCGTCTACGGACTCCTAAGCCGGAGCCGCATTCGGCTGAAACGTCTGCGGCACTGCCTCGCTGCCCTCCGCCTCGACGGTGCTCTGGTGCAACTGCGCGATCTGGCCGGCCATCGTCCGCAGCGCCTCTCTCGTCGCGTCGATGTTGAGTTCGCCGCGCTCAGACGCTTCTTTCAGGTATTGTTCCCATTCTGGGTCCATGGGTATGTTTAGGGCGCCCGAGGACTCGCGCAGGGCGGCGGCGTGGAGGAGGCGTGCGTTTAGGGAGAAGCCGACCGAGGAGGAGAGTTCGTTGGATGTGGAGTCTGAGTCTGATTCCGAGTCTGACGCTTCTGCTGCGCCGTCTTCGTCGTCGTCGTCGTCTTCGGCTGAGGAGGAGGAGTCGGGCATTTCTGTGTCGCCGCCGTTGTGGTGGTGGTTGGGCGGTTGCATGTTTTGCCGGGTGAGCGGGTTGTGCAGGAGGTGGTTGTGGTGTTCTAGTTCTTCGATTTCGACTTCAATGTCCGTCTTGACGTTGATGCCTGCGCCGTTGTTGTGGCGCGATGAGTAGGCTCGGCGTGTGTCGACCCACTCCCCTATGTCTACGCCGGTCGTGTCGACTACGCGTACGCCTTCGTCCCGCTCGTAGCGCTCTCGTGCCCAGAGTGTGCCTTCCCATCTGCAGAAGCCCTGGATTTCGGCTTCGGTTAGCCCGAGCCGGTCGAATGCGTCGAAGAGTCGCTTGTGGTGTGGGAAGCGGCCGAGGCGTTTTCGGTGTGGTTGGAAAGCGTAGTTTAGGCCTGGGTACCGCGCTTCGATTGTGTCGAGGGAGCCGTAGAAGTTTGCTGTTTCGATGCGCACTTCGCCGACGAGGTTTTTGGAGAGGTGCGCGCTGAAGGAGGGCGGGTCTGTGGGCGAGGGCGTGGGGAAGAGCGTGTTGTAGACGAGCACGCTGATGGGGTTTTTGCGGTGCATGGCTGCGGGTGTGTTAAGGCGAAGTTTGTTGGTAGGAAGTCTGCCGCCGTGCGAGAGGGAAGCGTGGATAGATGAGGTGTCGCCGTCGCTCGCAGATTGCGCGTTTGGGTGCTCGAGTGTGAAAGCGAAAGGCGGAAAGTGGGTTGTCGCAGAATGTGACCGCCTCACCCGCACCTTCTCTAACTTCCTCCTTACTAAGGGGCCGGCCAGGTGTGTGTGCTGACCTCGGGCGTGACCGCTGTTTCCAAGGTTCCCACGTTCTGACGCCGCCTAGCTCTCCCACTAGCTATCAGACGCTCGTCGGAATGGTGCACACCGGGTACCTGACAGCTGACTCTGCTGTCTTGCGCGTCGAGGTTCCGAAAGTCCCGTGGATGGTAATTTGCAAAATCCCTGAATGCACAGAGGGAATCGCTCGAATGCTATGTCTTTTGCGCTATCCTGCAGATCTTGCGGGCCAGAGGGGAGACCCCGGCTTTTGCTGCGAGATTGGTCGGGAAGGGTCGACGGCGTTTTGCGACGAGAATGCGGCACGGCGACGACGTGGGAAAACGGTGCAGACACAACACAAGCTAGAGAAGTCTGAATGTCGAGGCCGGCGAGGAGCAGGGGAAGAGCGAGCAAGATGGGATCAAAGGGGAGCAGGCGGGTATAAGTCTACTATAAGACATGCACTCTACTCGCGTCAACGCTCTCTGCCCTCACCGCCAGCACATGCACGATTATGGCTCGCTATTATTCTGGATCCTCACAGTTGGCCACAGATGTCGCAACAGGGACCAGACCCTGAAGGCCGCTATGCGAAGGCTCACACCGACGATCCCCAGTTTTTGCTCTTTCACCAGACTGACCTCGGCCACCCTATTGAACATTCTGCTCGCCACCTAGCACACCTGCTAAGCAGAAGCGTCGCTGCACCTGTCAAGCCTCGCCGACGGTACACACGAGAATCGCCGGCCTCTTCGCTGTCAAAGCATGCCTGGTGTAATCCCACCTGCGACGGTGGGTGAGTTGTAACCCAGCGCATGAGAGACCAATAGGTCCGCCCGCCCGCCGATTATCCGGGCCCGAGTATTCGACATGGATGCCGCGGGACGAAGCATGCACGAGGAACGACTGGTCCAGCTCTCTGTTCCACTGCCATGCCTACTGCAGGGTTACTCCAACTTGGCCCTTGCTATGCAGGCCAAGCCTGTACGACTTGTTAGCATTTCCGTCGTCGCGCTCTTGCCGGCGACGACTTTCTTCCAGTGCGCCACGGAAGCGCATTTGCTATGCAGGGGTACTGAGGATGTGGTGTTTACTTTTTGCTATTTGAGGGTGTACCATGGAGGGATTGTGGGCGAGGTGATATGCCGAGAATCGGACCCCTGCCGTTCCGCCTCGATCGTATCTGCAGCCGATTGGGCAGTCACTAGGATCACGTGTTTGCTGCTGACACATCGAGTCCGCGTACGCCGTGGCTGCCTCATTCCATCAATCCTTCGATCCACCACACCCAACGTTTCTAAGTTTTCATCTGAACCCGTGACGAACAGCTGCCTGCAGCCCTACGGGTCCCAACCACGCCTCATCCGCACTCGTGACAGACTGCTGCCTGCGATCCCTTCGCCTATATAATCCGCCAAACTCTCAGCCTCTTCCTTCCTTCCTCATCCTAGTGCAGGGGTGATTTGCTTACCAGTGAAGATTCGTCTGAGGTAGCAATTTTGCTAGTTTAAAACTACATATATTGACTGCTCTGGTAGGCCTTCTGGGTCTTTCAGGAATTTTTGGAATCCTCTTCGTTGGTCTCGGTAAGCTAGTCGCTGCTGGATTGAAGAAGAGGTCGGTGTTGTGCATCCTGCTCGGCTTACCTCAACGCATTCTTGTACACCCCGAAGGTACTCGTACTGCATCGGGGGTCTTGCAAGAGAATGGGGCGGAGATATACCACTGCGATACCACCAGAATGGTTTTCGGCCTCCACGCCATGTTGTCGGGGCTCGAACTTGGCGGCGGCACTGGGATAGACGATAGGAGGCTGACATCGCCGCAATAACGGCGCGTTGTATCGTGCGACGATGATCGAGTATAAGGCGCGAACTGTCTTGTGCCACTTCTCAAGTACTTCGCCTTACCCGTCTGTGTCAGATTTCCAATCTTTTTCTCTCCAATCTACGCGACAGATATGTCTGGAACCCAAGGACCTCCAGTGACCGACCAGCTCATGGCAGACGGCCGAATCTCTTTCGCTAGCTTTGCGATGACTGAGTTGGTATCCTTTTCAAACCAACCTTTCACACGCCAATCTGTCTCTCCAATCTCGTCAAGAGCAGAGTCGCATTCCACAGTCAACAGTCCGGATTCCATGTCGACTATACAGCCCCCAAAAGACTCCGCATCTCCTCCAGCCAAGCCATTGCCCTTGGCCACACAGCATCCACGTCCTATGGGCTGGTGGTGGGAAGTGGCCGCCTTGTTACTGAGTACTGTGTGCATGGCATTGATCCTGGCTATCCTTTTCACCATGGATGGCAGACCCATGAGAGACTGGAGACTCCCTATCCAGCCAAACTCTTTGATAGCGGTGTTTTCCACCATCGCCAAGTCGGCATTGCTAGTTCCTCTTGCCGAGTGCATCGGACAGCTGAAGTGGACCTACTTCCAGACACCCCAATCGAAGCCTGTCAATCGCCTTTATGACTTCGATTTGGCTACCCGAGGACCATGGGGGTCCCTGACCTTTCTTTTCAACCTGCGATTGAGAAAGTCCGCTATGTTAGCATCATTTGGAGCCGCCTTGACGATCCTTTCGCTTGGCTTTGAGCCTTTCACACAGCAGGTCCTGAGAGTCTACTCTAAGCCCGCACTACTAGTCAACACTACTGGGACTTTGAGCTCGAGCAAAGCATTGTCAGATGTGTGGCGTACAGAGAATTCTGATCTGGCTGGTATGTTAGCTGCGCAGGTAGCAGGTCGTCCTTTCATTAACTATGTCACAGGCATGGAGTATCCTCTGACTGTCGGGGTCATAGACCATGTCTCTTTGCAGGACATCAACTTACTTAGCAACATATACTGTCCGACAGCAGAATGCAAGCTTGATCAATTCACCTCTCTGGGTCTTTGCGATTCCTGCACCTCTCGAGACGTTTCGTTTGGTGGCAACTCCTGGAGACGCAACATTGAACCAGATGATGAGTACGATGGATGTGTCAACACCGCAGACAGTTACAACGACACATCATCAGAATTAAACTTCGACTATGACTATACCGCGATGAAAGATTACGTTGCAGCCGGCCAACAAACCCGGTGGCACAGACATTGCATCATGAAGAAGCAAGGGTACCCGGATATGGATATTTGGATTACCATGCAGTACAGAGGTGACAACATGTGGCCTAAGGTGGGTGTAACCAGCTCAGATATGGCGCTTGCCAATGGATACCGACTTGGTATCATTCGTATGGAGCGCGATCTCATTGACAGCACATTCATCTCTATCACTGCAAGCAACGGCGATCCAATGTGGAACCCATCGAACTCTACTCCGCAGATAGAGTTCTGCATCGGAGACTACGAACGTTACCAGGATGATGTCGTACTTGAACCTTACAAACTACCACTGCCAGCTGTGTCTGCATTCGCTTGCTTCAAGTCGACGTCTGACATTACCCGTATTGGCGAAATCGATCGACTTGGACTGATAAACGGGACAATATCCCACTGCAAACTGAGCTATTGTGCGAAGCGATACTCCGGTACCACTGTACGAAACACGATCGTAAGCTACGACTCAGTGGAAGAATGGCCACTGCACCCGACTGGCGACCCGTATAAGGCAGGATCAGGATATGACCAGTCGTTCCGCGCAGAAGGCCTGAACGAGACATTCTACATCGGCAATCATTCGCCCTCTTGGCTCGGCTCTGCCGCAGCAAGAATTCTCAAATCTACCACACTGAGCACGTACTTCATGACATACCACAAGCGTCACACATGGGCCGAATTTTTCCGAGGCTTTGCAGAAGTAGGAAGCAAAGTCATACAAGGCCCCGGCAACTCCGCAGCTATCAACAACACCAGTGAAGCTTACGGACCAGATATCTTTGTTGATGTGAGATGGGCTTGGCTTGCGTACCCGTTGGCGCTTCTCGTTTACTCTGCACTGTTTCTCTCTCTGACGGCGCTGGGTAGCAGAAGACGTTCCTACCTCTTCAAGAACTCGATACTGGCTGTGCTTGTTCACGGACTGGAGGGCTGGAACGCTGCGGATTGTCCTGAGCTGCTTACCGTAGCGAAAGAGAGGAATAGTGACCTGAAACGAGCTCTGGAACCGGCAAAGGCGTCTTTCGCTGAGAATGACGACGGTTTACTGAAGCTCAAGCGTGACTGATTCTTTCACTCAAAGACGTTGATGCGGCAGGCGCGGGTTGAGTCTCGCTCTCACCTTCACTTTGGCTCTCACCTCGCGCTAGCTCCGCGCTTGGACCGTTGTTTGCCTAAAACTGCAAGTCCCATCCAGCACGAAGCTCTTTCTTCACTCCTACTCCAACAACAATTGCTCTACGACGGCTTCTCGGTTTGCTGCAATCACTCGACAGGGAGCACAAGATGGCGGTCCGCACCATCATCGAGATCCCCAAGACATCGTCTGGCGCTGCCGATCCGGGTGCACCCAGCATCCTCACCACTCTACCGCCCGAGATCCGCAACCGCATCTACGAGTATCTTTTCAAGAGAGATGGACCTGTTATTCTGGACGATGGTCAAGTGCACAGGGAACTCTGGGATTGGCTTCATGTCATTCATTTCACGCACGGCGGCGTCGAGCGGCAAGTAAGAAACGAAGATTTGTGTAATGTCTTTGCAGGTTGCACCGACCTTCTACTATCATGCAGGCAAGTCTACCACGAAGCCGTCGGTATCCTCTACAGCCAGAACACTTTCTTCTTCTCCCAATTCCTCCACAATCAGATGCACTTTACCTGCACATGGCTGTCAAGGATCGGATCTCACTATCAGCTCCTGTCTCGCGTAAGCATAGACGCACATGCATCCGCTCATATGCAACCTCGACAATACAATCTGTTGCCGCTGTTGAAGCTTATCTGGAACCATCCTCAGGCCAAATGCCAATTTGCCTTCGTGCACTCCGGAAGTTCGTTCTCCCAGAAACAAGACAACAGCGCTGGACTCGACGATCCAATTACTGTCGCGCATCTTATGAACCATGTTCTCTTCGAAATAGGCACCGCAGACGTTCTCAACCTCAGGCAGTATGCCAAATACTCCGGCCTGATCTCATCAATAACGATCTGGTACCATGGGCACGACCATTGTGGATACGTCGAATACAATGATCCTGGCATCTCACGTTCCTTCCCGCATCCGGAAAGATATTTTGACATCTTAGCCCATGGTTCCAAGGTTCAGTGGAAAGAACCTGAACAGTTGGACCTTCCGTCCTTCCCTGGAGAATTGCTGTCGACCATCAATGCGTACGTAGGTGCATCCGATACAAGCGTTATATTCGACCTGGACATCAACGAAGCCCGGGGCTACCGCATAGGCCTCAGCGGAGTCAATAACTCGCTGCGGGCCGACATCGACCAGATGTATACGCGAGTGTACGACGAGATTGTCATCCGCATGTCTACTCAGGAGGCTAGGACCGACTTCAATGATTTCAAGGCACTACAAAAGCTATTAGAGGTTGACAATTTTGAGAATCTGGTCAATCCATATGATCGCAGAGGAGAGCAGTGTTTCATGAACATGATTCTGGTCTTCAAGCTCTCTAAACCAGAGCCCACTCCGGACCTTCGTATAAACATCAACAAGCTTCTGCATACTTTCAAACGCGACCATGGAGGTCTTGTCATTACTGTTCAGGAGTCTGATCGCAGCGTGAACGGCACACACTTCATCATATGGCATCATGTTCAGAAAGCAGTATTCCTCTTGATATCCGATATATTGGAGGAGTGTCCTTCGAAAGCCAATTGGCCCCTTCCACAAATCTGGATCAATGGTCACGGCACTGTTTTGTGCGCTACATACCCCGCTACGGCCTCCTCCGAGGAGATAATCATTTCTTCCTTGTATGCCAACAACGATCCGGCAGACGTCCTCGTTCAATACGATCGCAAGATCGAGTATCTTGAGCAAAGTGGGGCATTGGAGGATCTCATAAACGCTCTACATAACCCTTTCAGTATGAGCACTGATACTCTGGGCCTTATGTGGTACTGCTTACGGTGCTATCTTGGGATGGACCGGTGAAGGATGGCTGTGTCTATGGAGGATTAAGGCCATTGAGAGCGTTACACGGAAGAAAGCAGATGCATGGATCCGAGTACTACCTAAAGACAGCCGAGGCGAGTAGCAGGGGTAGACAAAAGTGGACAGCAAAGCCTCCGCGCTGTGCTCCAGTTGGAGCTCGCGGCTAGCAAATGGTATCGATATCTCCAAAGTGTGGCTTGCAAGGAGTGCGAGACATTTCTGATCATCAGAAGCACACATGGCGTGTGCAGGAAGTGATGAGGAGTGGCATGTGGCTGAACTGAGGCTGGAGTAACAGTTCCTTCAAAAAGTACATAGTAATCTTGATTTCATCAACTACACAAACTTCTCCATCTCTACTAACAGTTCCTCGAGCATCCAAACGGAAACGGAAGAACTGCCGGACTCTTGTACCCTCCTTTCCCTACACTCCTTACCCCAAAGATAACGTTATCCTTATGAATCGTCGCCGAAGTAAGGTTAAACCAATTGACATTCCCCACCTCAATAACATTCGTCCAATGCGGCTCAATCGTGTCACGATACAGAATCTCATACCCCTCAACCGGCAGTCCTTTCGGCGCATCCCACTTAAACTGGCTGAAGTTATCGGACGTCGTGGTATTAATACCAACATTCGTTGGCTCACCCGGCGCGTTCGCTAGACTCCACATGGTGGATGCAACGACCTTGGCGGCGCGCGTGTTGTACTCAAAGTCTAGCCATTCGACCAGGTCACCGTATTGCTTTCCATTGCGCACGGTAACGTTTTGGTGCTGTTGGGTGTAGTCCTCGTTGGGCTGGACGAAGCGAACGCCTGTGTAGCCTGCTTCCAGGAAAGGGCGGTGGTCGCCGCCTCTGCTGTACCTGTCTAGGCGGTAGATAAGGCGTACTGTCATCTCAGTGAAGGCATTCGATGCGACTTCGTAGATGAAGCGACCGAGGTTGCGAGCGGGGCTGTCATTGTCGCCGCCGATGCTGAGACGCGATGTCATCTTTGTAGAGTTCTCAGTCAGAGGCGTGCCTTGGCAGAAGAGCCGGATGTTGTACGGATCGATGGTGCCGTCGGAGGCTTTGGAGTTGCCAACCATGTCGAGGTTTATCATGCCTGCTACATTTACGGATGCATTCTTGTAAGTCTGGGCTAGGTTCTCGGCGCCGAGGAGGCCTTGTTCCTCGCCGGCGAAGGCTGTGAAGACGATGGTTGTCTTGGGCTTGTAGTGTGCGAAGATACGGGCGAGTTCGAGGGAGACTGCAACGCCTGAAGCGTCGTCTACGGCGCCGGGTGCGTCGCCTTGGTAGTCGATGGGGTCGCTGTTGCGCGAGTCATAATGCCCGCCTGTTACGTAGACACGATCTGGGTCCTCGCTGCCTTTTAGTGTTGCGACGACGGTTGTGATGTTTACTGGGAAGATGATGCGCTCATTGTCTCCGGGGTATTTGATGAAGCTGTTCCAGTCTACGGTCATTCTTCCTTCGCTCTCATCAGCTGCTTCTTGGAACTTAGCCGTGAGCCATGTTCTCGCAGCGCCGATACCTCGGTTGGGGTCAGTTTGACTTGACAGGGTGTGACGCGTGCCGAATGATGCCAGCTTCCGGATCGTAGCCTCGATGTTGTCGCGCGATATTTGCGAAATGATGTCCTGAAGGTCTTCATCCGGCATCTGTTGCTCTAACGCCTTTCCAACGACAGGCAATGGCCATTGCTGCGCACTCGGGAATGACTGGTGAGGATGATGTGCGTGGATAGGTGACGAGAAAGCCGTCTGCAGCAGTGTTGCCGCGCAGACCGCGAGGATGGAAGTAGACCGCATCTTGATCGATCTAGGCAATTGGCTTGGACGATACAAGAGATCTTACTCAAATCTTCTATTCCTACCTTTTATACTCCACCATTTTCGCCATCCCACTCTTCGCGACAGGCTGTCGACTGCCGGTATCTCCAACATCTCGCGATACCGCAGCGACTGCCGTCATCGGAGAAATGCAACTCTTGCTATCATGGCTTTCGCGAGCGCCGATCTGTATCGTAAGTGGAAGCTCGTAATGCTACCAAGACGCCAGAAGGAGAATTAGGGAAGACTTCAACAGCTTTGCTGCATGCTCAGCTTGGCAACGGGTACCGTGTGCGGGGTTCTCCATTGAGCTTCCGACCTTATGCGATGATGTGCGATAACAACGGTCGTCTTCCGGAAGGAAAGACTATTAGTAAAGCGACTGCGGCCTCGCGACGCCTTCCATTCTCTGTTGGCCGGTAGTCCAGTCGCGCTGGTAGTGCTGGTGTTAGTTACCTTCCGAGGTGGCTGGGAGCCAGGGGTCTTGATCATGCAGTTTCTGTCCCGCTTTGCGAACAGCACATCTTCATCGATTGTGCAGTATTTTCGAACTCATTATAAATGGTCGTGATAATAGTCTGGTGAGCACATCGGCTTGGTCAGTCGAAATCAAAGGGAGAACATCTGAACAAGATAGCAAAGATGGCGCTAACCCCAAAGCTTGGCGTGACATCATCGCATTGACTGGGAAGCCACCAAATTACAACAATGCGACTCGATGACAGTGACATTCCATGAGCACAAGTATCTGTCAGCAGAGGTTATGATTATACACTCACGATATGCAGCAGCGGCTGCTTCCCGGCGCTGCATCGAAGATTTCTCACTGATCGACGCCTCGTAGCGCCGCAACAAGCTTGACAAGCCTCGGCTGCACGAATCGTATCGTCGATGGTTCTCACGTTGCGCAGCATCGGCTGTGGAAATGTTCTCTATTCGTCCTGGAACCCCATGTCTTCCCCACGTGTTTCGAGATATCCGGTGGTACCTGGGGTTCATGAACGTGCTAACTCCAAAGAAGAAGGTAACAAGACTGGCAGCAACACCAAACACGGAGTGAAAAGCCAAACTAGGAGTACACAATAAAGGCCCGATGCATCACAATGCATGTCATTTAAAGCGTCGGACAGGAACTAGGCAATCACTGGTCAACGTGAACGGATCAGGTGTAGTCATTGGGTGTCGACGGCGGTAAACAAGAACAGTCCAGCTTAACGAAGCGGAGGAGGAAATTGAACTGGTAGAAATAGGCATGTAGGTAAGGTCTGATGACATGGCTTGCCAATGTGCTTGCAAGAGACGATGCAGTAGCGCAGGAGATAGTACTGAAGTGGTTATGGCCACACTCGCTGTGCTTTAGTAGGACAATGGCTCAGAATACAAAAGGTCAAACCGTCCACCTACTCTTAGTGGATCATCGCTACCAGCCTCTTCAGACTTCCTTCGTTCAACTCGGCCGCCCTCGACAATCGCTCAACATGAAGACTTGCGCTCGCTCCCTTCTTGCCCTTGCGGCTATTCTCACCACTGCGCTCGCTGCGCCAACGCCTGCGAGCGGGGTGAGCTTCCCCATCACTGACCTCCTCGACAAAGACCTCACTGTCGAGGAGTACGCGGCACAGCTTGAGAACCAGGACGTTGAAACACGTGACCTTACCAAGCGCCAGTTCAGCGGCGACACTTACAACCAACTGACTGACGGTACCGCCTGCCGTCGCGTAACTGTCATCTACGCTCGTGGTACTACCCAAGGCAAGATATCTCTATTAATCGTAGGCGAGTTGTACACTGATACCCTTTCTAGCGGGTAATGTAGGCGAGGCCAACTCCGAAGGCCCAACCTTCTTCAACGCTCTGGCTGCACGTGTCGGAGGTGCCAGCAACTTGGCCATCCAAGGCGTTACCTACCCGGCTAACGTCATTGGCTTCTTGGCTGGAGGCGACGCGGCCGGTGCCACCACTATGTTCAACTTGATCAACCAAGTGAGTGTCATCGTGACTATTGATACATCAGTACGATGCTGACTGTGCACCTAGGCTATTACACGATGCCCCTCAACCAAGATCGTCGTCTCCGGATACTCCCAGGGCGCGCAGCTTGTGCACACTGCTACACAGAGGCTATCAGCCTCCGCCGCCTCGCGTGTCACCGCCGTTGTAACATTCGGCGATGCTGACCGTGACGAGTCTTTCGGCTCTGTTGCTGCTAGCAAGGTTCTCATCATCTGCCATGCTGGTGACAACATCTGCGACAACGGCATCATCATCACCCCTGAGCACAGGAACTACGAGATCGATGCTCCTACTGCTGCCGCTTTCGTCGCTGCTCGCGTTTGAGATCGAAGTTGAGGGTGGCTGGAAGTACGATCATATACGATTAGTTTAATGGTTACGAAAATTTACGCTGGATTACTGTTTGCACGATTGTTCCCTGACCTTGACTTCCTTCTCTTTCCAGTGCATAGGAAATACTTTCGAATGTTGCCAAAGCAAAGGTGAAGCTGACGCAACAACGTGGAATAAGAAGAGAAGTCTAACGGTGTATGTGCAAAGAAATCATCTATTCTCCGTCAATGAGCAGTAGTTGAGCGGTAAAGAGACGTTCGGACTGCAAGGGCTGAAGAGAGTTGAGTATCAGCAACGGTGTGCGTAATTGATGGGCACATGTAGACTTTAGAAGGCAAGGTGCCCGACATGTTGTCGTGGTCCTTGTTCTCCCCGTCGCGCCGTCCGCGGGTGTCAACCCCTCTGCCGCCTTCAGGCAACCCCAACATAACGTGCTTTCCGCATCTCATGTCGAAATAGCGCATCCATTGCAACCTTTCGCGTAAGATGTCCATCAGACCGACGGAAACCGCACCATACTTGGCAAGCCACAGGAAAACTCGAGTGAAGTCATAACCAAAAGGGTCCGACCCGTGGACGCTTGGGTCGCAGGCCGCCACGCGCGAGTCAGTTAGCGCAGATGTCGTGCTCGCCCCATAGAAAACACCAAACGTCTCGATTGCGGTGATTGCCTCAACGTCCATCAATAAGGAGAGAAAAATTGGATACCAAGCTCGCCAAGCATCGCGGTGTCGTCCGAACTCTTAAGATATGTGGTCTCCACGTTGAACTGAGGTTCTTCACCTCATCACATCTCTTCTCTCCATCTTTTCCTTCTCC